GTACCATGATCTTCATATAGCCATCAGAGGACAACCTGCAGGAGCTGGTTCTCTCCTCCTACTGTGTGCATCTCAGGTACTGAACTAAGGTTATGAGGGTGGACAGCAAGCACCCTTTTCCACTTAGCTGTCTTGCAGGCCCTCTGCTAGCTCTCTGATTCTGTCTTTTGAACCAAGTTTCCCCAGCTTTTACATGTTCCTTGAGAACAATCATCACTTTCACATTATTTACCTCTGCTGTTTACATATTTAAACATATGAAAATATTTGTTGAAAATGTAATTACTCAGAAGACATGTTCTGGGAGGTTAAGATGTTAAAAAAAAAAAAGTACACAAATATCAAAATCATTATATACTGTCCATGGGCTGGACAAAGGATCACAGCCCAGGATCATCTTAAGTTGACTTTTTGGTATAAGGATAACCTAACAAGTAAATACCTACTAATAAAATACCATATTAGAAACCAGATTTAAAGGAACTTTATTTAAAAAGTAGAAATATCTCAATCTTTTAAAGAGAGATTCCTGCTATGTAGCCTAGGCTGACCCTGAGCTCAGCACACTCCTGCTTCACTCTCCTGAATGCTAGGGTTGTAGGAATGAGTCATGTTCCACTACAATCAGCTCTCAATCAGTTTTAAATCTTGCTTTAAAGAAAAAGTATCCATTTGTATGTGTACGTGTATGTGTAGGAGCTGAGTGTCTGTGTGTGCACCAGGTGCACGCAAAGGTCACAAGAGGGTGTCAGATACACTGGGACTGGGGTTTAGGACATTGGACTCCACATGGATGATGGGAACCAAACCCAGGCTCTTTGCAAGGACTGCAAAAGCTCTTAGCCACTGAGACATCTCTCCAACCCCTTAAATCATGCTTTTTAAAATTTAGCTATGCAAAAAGAAGAAATATAATATAGCTCAAGAAAAAAGTTTATTGTAAATTGGGGTATGGTAGCATATATATGTAATCCCAGCACTCTGGCGTCGGGCGCCGGAAGCTCAGGGGAGTTCAAGGACAGAGCTAGTTACAGACCGAATTTGAAGCCAGCCTGAGCTTGACAGACAGACAGTTTAGAAATACTGGGGAAAGAGGGATGTCTCCAAAAGCCTATGGGTGTGAGTCAAGGATGCTGATATGTAACATGTAACTGAGAAACTGTGTAGCCACCAACCCTGCAATACCTGAGGCCGGTTCTTCAGTCTGTCTGTCCTCCTCCTCGTCTCTTCTTTCACCCTCAGCATTAAGAAGTGCTGAGACAATATCACTGACCGTCTTGTAGTTTTCGCCAGTGGCCAGGAGTTGACTCTGAACTGTCTGTCTTACCAGGCTCCTACTGAAGCCCATTTCCAAAGCTGCTTTAACCACAGGCGTGTTCATCATGACCACATCTTCTGAACTTTCACCAAGTCCGAAATGCATAACTGTTTGCAGACAAATTTGCTAATATTAAACTCCACAAAGTTAAAACTATGGAAAATAATGACTGTAATCTCATATCCTGATTAGGGAGATATACCACAAGCACCAATTAAATTAACTTCAATAACATTTTAACTTGATAATAGTGAAATGAGAGTACAATTAACATACTATGCATTTAAAAAATTACTTGCTACAATGCATACATCCTAGACGTACTTAATAAAAACAATCTCTTATCAACAGGCTTAGGAATCTGTACTGTTAAAAAATCTCACCAGTGTTGGTGAGATGGTGGGGTAGTAAAGGCACTTGCTGCCAAGCCTGAAAGCCTTAAGTTCAATTCACAGGATCCATAAGGTAGAAGAAAAGAACTAACTCCCAAATGTTTTCCTCCTAATAATAATAATAATAATACAAATTATTTATTTACTTTTATCTGTATTGGTTTTGCCTGCATGTATGTCTACGTAAGGGTGTCAGATCCCCTGAAATTGGAGCCACAAACAGTTGTAAGCTGCCATGTGGATGCTGGGAATTGAACCTGGGTCCTCTGGAACAGCAGCCAAGTGCTCTTAACCACGGAGCCATCCATCTCTCCAGCCCCCAAAGCTGTCCTCTTCACACATGCTGTGGCATGTACACCCACACATACACAATAACATATGTATTTTTTTAATTTTTCAAAAATCAAGCAGGCAAGATGGCTCATGGTATACATGTTTTCTGCACAAGCCTACCAAAGTTCAATTCCTGAAACCCACAGGATGACTCCTGAAGTAACTAATCCTCTGTGTGTGTGTGTGTGTGTGTGTGTGTGTGTGTGTGTGTGTCTAACTCTGCCTGTGTGTGTGTGTGTGTGTGTGTCTAACTCTGCCTGTGTGTGTGTGTGTGTGTGTGTACACACAGAGATACAAAAATAAAGAAATAACCTCCAGGCAGGAAAATCGAGGAAACTGTAAAGTTCATTAAGAACTGGACATGCGCCAGCACAGACAAAGCCTTTGACCCTTTTCTGACACTCACAAACAAGATTTAACATGCTACCCCCTCAGAAAACTAGATAGATAGATAGATAGATAGATAGATAGATAGATAGATAGATAGATAGATAGATATAGGGCACAGTGCTAACACGGAGGTGCAGCGCCTCAGTGCAATGCTTTTCTAGCATATGGTTGATAGCACAGTAAAAAGAACAGAAAAAAATTAAGACATGGGGTATGGACTAGGTAGAGGACTTGTTTGGCATGCTTGAGAATTCCATTTCTAGCAATCATGCACACATCTACTCCCTTCCCCTGTAAAGGGGTTAGGTGTGGGGCTGGGACCTTGCACAGTGTGGTGAGTCTTTGGCAAGCACACATGAAGCATTTGGGTTTAATTCACAACACCAATGGAGATGATTCAGAGCTGAATTATGAATAATGTCTAAACAGAAACACAAGTGAGGCAGAGAAAACAAGGATGGGACACATAAAGATGTAAGGAAAACACATAGTTAAATAAGCAAAAGTAATGAGAGCCTGAACAGAGCAGTTGTGAAGATGAAAATGTAAGGTGATGAGAGTGGGAGTTGGAAGAGAAGGCCTGGGAAGCCCTCTCTGTTAAGGTCAGTGTGAGCTCTTCCTGTGCTTCTGTGCCATTACAGCTGAGCTTTTCCAAGACACTGCCCTGCCATCTGCTGGAGACTGCTGCAATAAACACACAAACAACCAATGTCAAAATGTCAACAGCAACCTCCTCAAAAGCATGTCCAAAGTAGCCAAACCAGCCTTGACCCCTGACACCTCCTCCAGAAAATAACATGAAGAATAAACAAACCCTGAAGCTGAAATGATAAAGTAATCGATAGGAATGTCTGAAAGAGAACAACAAGCACAACAGCCTTAAGCAGGACAAAAACTTAGGACAGAAGCGGGTGAGGACTATAGACGGTGAGGGCAGTAGACGGTGAGGCTGGCAGTGGGCAGACAGTGAGCATCTGGACACACTGGGAAGGCCCAGCTGGTTCTGTAGCTGGGTGCTATTAACTGAGATGGAAAGGTGAGAGCAGAGCCTCTCAGGAATCAAACAGGGGAAGCTTGTGCTCCAACATATTTACTGAAACAGCCACGTTAGCCAGAAATGGAAGCACTTTGAAATTTAAGCAGGTAACTGGACATTGCAGCCTGGCACCCATCTGACCAGAGCATAAAGAACACTTCATACGGTAGTCTGTGACTCAGAAATATGAAAAAGTGGTGGTAGTGTGCACCTTTAATCCCAGCACTCAGGAGGCAGAGGCAGGCAGATCTCTGTGAGTTTGTGGCCAGCCTGGTCTACAGAGCAAGTTCCAAGACAGCCTGGACTCTGTTATATAGAGGAACCTTATCTCAGAACTAAAAAAAGAAAGAGGAGCTAGGAAAGGAAACTGCTCAGAATCAACAGAAGAACAGGAAAACCCCCAAAAAATGACATCAGGGAAGTCAACCAAAAGAGTATACTGAGGACAAAGGCCCGTGTGCCGGAGTGCCTTTGTCACCCAGCACTGGGGAGATAAAGGCCCTATGGATCTCAAGTTTAGGGCAGCCAAGAATACTGCATAACACACTTCCAAAAGCAGCATTCAACTGTATCAAATGCCAGCTGTCAGGAAGTAAGAGATCTGCTAATACAGCAGTTTCTGGTGACCATGACAACATTTACAAATTAGCAGTAGGGGACATAATCCAGAAAATGAAGCCAGGTATGATGGCATATCCTGTAATAGAGCACTCAGAAGCCGAGGCCAGAGGATCCAAAGTTCAAAGCCAGCTTGGGCCATATTATGAGACTCTGTATCAAGAATGAAGGAAGGGGAAATAAATAAATAAACAAAAGAACAAAGAAAAGTGGTTTTGAAGAGAAAACAAGAGTTCTCTTTTCATTTTTCTATTTTCTTTGTTGGGTGATGTTTTATTCTTTGGCCTTTTTTTGGGGGGGGCAGCTGCCCAGTTAGCCACAGAGTAAGAGTGAAAGTAAGATATCCAGAAGTAAAAAAAGGAAAAAAGTCCAGAAGAAAAAGGTAGTTGAATAATTTAAGAAAAGCTGACAAGAAACAAGCCAAGCCCAGGCCAGGCATTCCTAAAGATAAACCTGTGTGTGTGACTTATTTGGGAACTGGGTGGTAGACTCCTCAAAAAAGCCAAGAGTGAAACATCACACAGCATTCTCAGTGAAGAACATGAACTAGGAAAACTGTGGGATGAGCTAGAGTCTTATTGAGATGGCTGAGAGGGGAGCGCTTGCCAGACAAGCCAGAATGATCCCAGAACCCATGTAAAGCGAAGAGAACTGACTCCTGAGAATTGCCTGCTGATCGCTACACGTGCACTGTGGCACATGCATGCCCAAACATACATCATACACACATGTATACAATCTCTCACACATTCTTTTAAAAAGATTTTGTAAATTACAAACAGAAGCCTATAAAGAAAGGAAATGTATAACACTCATTCTGAAGACTGGCAAAGTGATTTTATAAACAAAAGTAAGATGTAAATCTTGAGAGGCTGGAAATGTAGCATGGTGTAGCATGGCAGTGTGGTATAGTGTGGTGTATCATGGCATAGTGTAGTGCTGTACAGAGTGGTGTGGCAAGGTGCAGACGGTATAGCAAGTACCTAGCATACACAAGGCCCTGGGTTCTAGCCTCAGCAGCAGTCTAAATATTTAAACACTAAATAAGAACAGCTACCCACTATCCATTACTTTGCTGACCTTAGTGCACTTCAGAGTCACTGTTTCCATTACCAAGCAGGCACCTTATCTACTGCCAAGTCATGGTTTCTACGACTTTTCTATATCTTGGTCCTCCTCTGTTCTAGCCACTAATGTGCCAAAGCCTCTCTTGAAAAGGTGAGTCAAAACCAGAACTCCCCTTCAGATGTGATTAGCACATCAACCACCGTGGGACCATAATACATGGGGATCACATACAGTAACTACTGAGATATGGTTAAAACTCAGCTCCAGTCCAGAGCCCCTGTACTCTTGCTATGTTCCTGCCTTTAAACCTAACATCCTAACATCATAACTCAACTGTAACACACTCACAGCAGCCTCTTCCTCCTTGGAGGTAAAGCTTGCTCACACCTCACACACAACCTCTTCCTCCCTGGAGGCAAAGCTTTCATTTGACATGGCTTCAGGCTCTTGTTTTCTGTGTGTATCTTGTTGCCTCATATGAAATGTCAGCACTTTGAAGACCAATAAACGTCTTAGAATCTTAAAAATGTCACAAATCTTATTAGTAGACAAATTTTCTAGTTAGCACCCACAGTTCCCTATATGGTTTCCTCTAATATACTTCCATTTCTAAAATTCTTACAAAATCTCATAGTTGTATTTTAAAAGTTTCCCTACTTACTTGGAGGGTTGCCATTTTCTTCTCCTGGGGTGTCTGAAGTGGACAACAGCTATGAAATAAGAGAACACTTGACAGGAAAATCAGAAACCTCAAACAGTCCAAACAGCAGAGTCAGGGATTTGCCTTGCTGTAGGGTAAGGTCTCATTCTGTTGCTGAGGTTGGCCTACAACTCATGGCAATCCTCCTGCCTCAGCTTTCCAAGCACTGGGATGACAGAGTGAGCTGCCACACCGAAGCAAACAACAACAGTTAGTTTAAGTAAATACACATACCCTTTTGGAAACTGGGTGATTCAAACACTTCATTGTAAGCCAGGTATGCTAGCACAAACCTGTAAGTTCAGCACTTGGAAAGCTGAGAAGATGAAGAGTTCAAGGCATGCCTCAGCTGCATGTCTCAAACCTCTAAAATAAATACTATGTAAGTATTTATTAAAAATTATGGTTTTACTTCACCATAATTATTATACAACTATGCTTATACTTTATCGACAACCAAGTTAGGATTCCAGTGTTTCTTCCATTTCAGAGAAAGGAAGATACAACAGTGGCTCCTCACTCCTTTGGAAAGCAGTATTTCAATTTGGGTAAGTTTTAAAAGGTAGTAACACTTTAAAAAGGTTTTTGGCTTTTTTTTTTTTCTGGAAAAGACTAGAGACATTGAAGATACCTCTTCAACCCCATTTTTGTTTTTAAGAAAAAAATTCTGTACACTGGTAGGATATAAGATTTTCCAAAATTGCAAAAGTAAATAACAGTATTTATAAAGAAGCCTGAGTAGCAAACTATCAAGGATGCCATTACCATGGCTACATGACATGTAACTCCAACTCCACAGCTCTTCTAAGCACACACTTACATTCTCAAGTGTGTTAGCACCTCACAACCTCAGGTATATCTTTCTAAGCACATTTCTTTTTCTTAAATCGCTATAAGAATTTGTTAATAAGCCCCAATTTTGTCCTAAAAAAATTTGTAAATAAACTAATAAAACAGATATAAATATCACTCTAAAAGATTTCTGTAATCACTATTACATGGCATAGTCCAATGCTATATTTTGTATATGGAGAGAGTGTGTGTACCTGTTACCATGGGTGTGAGCAACTACATGTGCACACGTGTGGGGGACAAAGGTAGACACAGATGTCTTAACAGTTCTATCCTTTATTTCTAAGACAAGGTCTCTGTCTCCATTCACCCTGGAACTCACTGAACGGTTCCATTATCTGGCCTGTGAGAGAGAGAGCTCCAGGGATTCCCATCTCCCGAGCCCTGGGTTTGCTGATGTATACTGCCACACCCGGCTTTGTACACAGGGCTGGGTCCTCAGATTGCCCGGTAGGCACTTTACCAAATGGTCACCTCCCCAGCTCTCTGGTTGATTTGAAGAATGAGTTTACCTGTTCAAGAAGATGAGGGTATCTAGCCTGAATTTCATCAACAAACTCCTGCCCCTTCATCCGTATCAAGAACTCACACCTAAAATGTTAAACAAAAATGACTCTAAATTATTTCATGTCAATTTATTCGAGGAGTGACTTTCAAATCTTCCTGATTATACCCCACAGCAAACATTTTACATCACAACCCAGGAGACATTTGTGTCTAACAAACCCAAACGGTCACATACCAGCACACATTCTTACTGTGTTGGTACATTCCATTATTTTTCTGTCTCCTAATTACACACAACAAAGGGAAAATTCTGGACTTAGGGCAAAAGTTGGCTTATGAAAAACAATGTTACAGACATTATCTTTTTTGTGCTTAACACTATTTCAAAAACTAATACTCTTTATTAAAATTTTATTGTTCACAATACAGGAACTGCCAATCCTGCTCCAGAGTTCACTCTCCTATCTTGAAATACAACCTACCACACTTCCTCCAGGAAACACATAATCAAGTACTTTATCTCCACATTTTGTAGCAATGTTTCTCAAACATGTAAACTACTAAAGCTTCTCG